ATACAGTCGGTCTCGACACTTGCTCGCTTCAACAACTGGTGGAGAAGGGATTTGGCCCCGCGCCGAACTCATCTGCCTGACACCCTTCATCCGCAGCAAAGAAGACTGTAACTGCCTGTGCGATCCTATACGTTTTCATTTTGCAGCATGGATTGCGAAATGTAAATAGACGGATTAGGATTGGGTATTTCACGCAGCATCACGTTGATCAGCTTGATATGGATATGACTGCCATTGAAGTTTTAGCTCATAATTATCCAGGTTAGTAGGCCTCACGTTCACTTCTGAATCATTTATTTTCTTTCTGGCTCTTCAAAGTGGGACGTAGTGCACAGACATTTGAAAAGGGCACACGGCGAGAGTTGGCGCGTTCGTTTGGTCGTCTGCGCTCTGTGAAACTTTGCTCTTCGGGGAACTATAACAGTCATAGAGAGAGGGCGCAGACGAGCATGGTTAGCCTCATCGCCACGCGTCACGTCCCTCACGCAGATCACCATCATGCGTTGGCCATTCTGGCCGAGTCCGTACGACCCCCCCCACCCTTTTGTGTACTCTGTACAGCGCAGGTTTTGCTTGCTAACCGGAACTTAGCCATGCTTGTTGCTGACTGACTACGCTTACAACCTTCCTCCCCCCCCCACCTCTCCCGTCCATAAGTCAAGTACGACCTCTTTCTTGGGCAGTCCCAACCGGTGGCGAACCCTGCCCTCACACTTTCTACCCCGGCACTGCTCTGATTCGGTTTGTGCCTAACGAAGAACTTTTGTCGTGGGCAGTTTCTGAATAGGCGCGTAAGCGAGAGGAACACCCTGTAAACATAGTCAGCGCGTAGCCATCTTGGCTTACAGATTTACTTCTACTTTGCAATCTGCTTTCGCCGCAGTCTTGGTATCAATAGGAGGCAGTTATATGGACAATAGCCTTTGTGAATCTCACACCGGCTTAGTGGGGACATTTGCTGGTTCTCAAGGACCACAGCCGATGCCTCTTGTGGAGGCCTATTAACCACTGTAAACCTATGCATTAGCAGGAATTTCGTTTGCACTTGACAGAAGTCTACAGGTCTCGCCAAGATATGACGTGTTGCTAACAGGAACTAGCAAAAGAAGTAACAAATGCCCCTCCCGAGGCGAACTGCGCCCAGTCTGCTTACCTCTGCACTATAGTAAAATGTGATGGGTGCCAGTCCGCCTCTACCTGCTGTATCTAACTCTGTTGCATCGTAGTCTGAGTTCATGAGTGTCATTGTATTCTTATACTTCAGGCAAATCACAGGAGGATTACCGCACAGCGCTTAGTCATTTTGGATTGACAGGCGACATGGCTCTGCAGTCAGTCTACACATTATCTGGAGGACAAAAGTCACGTTTAGCATTCGCCAATATCGCGATGTTGAAGTGAGAATTTTCTCTTTGGTTCACTTTCTGTATATTCTGTAATGCTTACAAATTTCTAGTCCAAACTACCTCATTCTTGACGAGCCCACCAATCACTTGGATGTTGAGACGGTGGCGGCTCTTGGAGCGGCTCTTAACTCTTTCAATGTAAGTAACCTTACTATACATAAACAGGCTTCCTCTGTCAGTCTGTCTGTCCGTCTGTCTGTACGACTGTACGTCTATGCATCTGTCTGTCTGCTCGCCTGCCCACAAATTCGGCATCATCTGAAGAGCAAGGTCGATGAGATCCGACTGGCCCTTTCAGATGTGGAAGGGGGCTTCCCACTTCACACGTGGAAGGAGGATAAAATATCGTCTTAATCTGACATGGTGAGCGCACCAATTGGTACTTAGTGACGAAGTCAGTTCAGGACACTTTGTGACACGCAAACTCCTGTCACCAAAGGACTCTTTCATAACGTCTCTTACTTCACAGGAGTTTACAGGTCTTCCCGTGTCTAACCTGTCAATCAACTTGAACTAGCAAAAAGAACTAGCGAAAGTGCAAAATGCCCCTCCTAAACTGAATAGCGCTGAA